CCCCAAAACCCCAAAACCCCAAAACCCCAAAACCCCAAATTTTTTTATTTTTTGAACTAAAGAATTATTTTGAGAGTTTAAGTTGATATGAACGTAAGGAATCATCTAAGTCCGGCTATCCGCAAAAGCACATTTAAGGATGTCATAGGGTTCTCGATGCGGAACAAGCGAAAAGTCTTCTCCATTGCTAAGGTAATTTTATTTGGGTAATCTCTGTAGAAAGTTGATCCAATAGAAGTAGTTGATAACTCAGATTATGAAGAACTTGATGACCCCCTTCTTACTAAAGTAATATTTGGTTATTATACATAGCGAAGAGAGGAGTTCCTAGAGCAGCTCAAGTCCATGAGGGTTCACAAAAGAGCCATCTGAGGTCCAATGTCGCTCTTTAGGAAAATGCATAAGCAGAACAAATAAGGAGAAAATAAAAGTTAACCAAATATGAAAGTCTTTAACTAAATAAGTATACAAGAGTGGAGCGTTCTTATTCTCGTAGTAACAGCCGTTTAAACAGTGCTTGTAAATCTCTCTTCTAGCCATATAGGTAGTGAATTTGGACACTTCAGTGGCCATAACATTTCAACACACAAGAAGAAGTCAAATTTTGGTAAATTTGCCAAAAAGGAGTCAGTACCAGTGACCGACTACGAAGTTGATAAAATCCTGAAACAGATCAGAGATAGACAGAGGCGCACCAAGAGGTATGAAGAAAAGGTCAAGCTAGCACAATCACATAGTGAGGTTTTAAGAGACAGTAGAGAACAAAGAGCTATTGAGAAGTAAGACTACAGTTTCTTCAAAAATTCCTTGGGCCTCCATGCTCAATTAAGCTTTACCAGGTTCTACATCATGACCTAACCTCGTGATTTAGCCATAATGATATAATGAAGCTATGGAAAAAAGACTCTAAAAGAATATCAACCAAGGTAGGAAGAGCAGTAAAGGACTCAGTCTTTGTAAGATGAGATGGGTATCGAAAAAGAAGAGAAGCATTATGAGGTAAGAACAAGCAATGAAACATAATTTTTGATTGATAAGGTTGGATAAAGAGGCTTTAGAGAGATAAATAATGAAGGTTAAGAGATATGGCTTATAGTTATATATTTAGAATTTTAGCATATTTTTACAAGCTTCATGATTGATATAGAAAATTCTCAGAAAAAATAGCCTTCCAATGTTCAGTAACAGATCTAGAGAGTTAAAACAGTATTTAAAACAAAGAAGAGACAAGCCATCTCCAGAGAAGATTTTCTCACAATATTCTTTTAAAATGATGCTTCGAAGTGATAAGAGGAATAAAAAGCTTCAGAAATCTTCCAAAGATAAGACCCATTTAAATTCTCCAGGGAGAGAAACAATGTATGGAATTTATAGGGATCATCAGAGCTCACGATCTATAAATGGCAGGAACACTTCAGTTGACTCACAATCCCATGAAAAGATGGGCGGCAACTTGTTGACCACCAAGGATGTTAAATAACATGAAGGACTCGTCAAATCTTCTTCTTCAAAAAGCAAAGAAGAACACTTTTGGCTCTGGAATGGATTATCAGTACCTTCAAGAGATAGGATGATCAAGTGGAATATGGTTTCGCATGAATGCTAGGAGGCATAATCGACCACCTAAGGAGACAATTATCCGGAAATCCTTATCTTTCTGGAAAGACACCTATGAAGATGGTGATGTTTCAAAATCAATGCCTAGGGTTTTACTCAAGACATCAGATACGTTACTTAACTCAACAGAGAGATGCAGTACTAATGGAATTTCCAACAGAAGATCTCGAATGTGCCTGAATACTTCCTACTCTGAACTTCCCATTGGAGGAGGTCAGGCAGACCAGTATGAAGGGATAGAGATAATTGGAAAAAGCAAGCTCGAGGCAGAGACTCTCTTTGTAAAAAGTATAAAAGGGAAAATCATCATGAAAAATCACATCCTCAATGATGATGGGGAAGGTGAACCTGCCCAAGATGAAGAAACTTTGTAATAAAAGTTTCAATCTGGATTTTCCACTGGGGTTTTGGGGTTTTGGGGTTTTGGGGTTTTGGGG